TTACATCCCTTAATCTACGAAATTGATTAGTTTTGATAGCCTTTGTCAGAACATCTGCCAGCTGCTTCTGGGTGCTACAGTGCACAACCTCTAATATTCCATTCTGAACTTGATTCCTCGAAAAATGATACTTCGCCTTAATATGCTTGCTTCTCCTATGCAACACTGGATTCTTGGCAAGATTGATTACAGTCTTGTTATCAATCATCAGCTTCAGAGGTTTATTTACCTCAATCTTCAGATCTTTCAGCAAGTTCAGAATCCACACAGCTTGACATGCAGTCAGAGCACCTACAATATATTCAATTTCACAAGTTGACAGAGCAACAACATGTTGCTTCTTGGAACACCAAGAAATAGGACCTCCCAGAAATTTGAATAAGTACCCAGAAGTACTTCTCCTGTCAACTCTATCTCCACACCAATCAGAATCAGAATAACTCAGAAGTTCTGATTCGATCTTTCTTCCATACGAAAATAACACTCTATATTTAAGAGTTCCCTTCACATACCTCAGAATCTTGACTGCAGCTTGGTAATGAGACCACTTTGGTTTGCTCATAAATCTGCTAACCATTCCAAATGCATAGAAAATATCAGGTCTGGTATTACACAAATACCTTAGAGAACCAACCATCTGTTTGAAGGTTGTAGCATCCATATCCTCTCCATCAGAATCAGAGTTCAACTTCTGATTCGTATCAGCAGGTGTGATAGCATCCTTGCAATTTTCTAGCTCAAACCTCTTCAGAAGATCTAGTTCATACTTCATCTGATGTAAAATGATTCCTTTCTCAGAGTACATAAATTCCATCCCCGGAAAGAAACTCATTTTTCTAAGATCTGTCATCTCAAATGCATTCATCAGAACTTTCTTGAACTCAATTGTCTCTTGTTCAGAACTTCCTGTGAGTAATATATCATCAACATACAAACAGACCAGAATTATATTACCTTCTGAAGTGTGTTGAACATAAACACCATACTCCATCTCACACTTCTAAAATCCTTGTTCCTTGAAAAATGAATCAATTTTCAAATTCCAAGCTCTGGACGCTTGCTTCAATCCATACAATACTTTGTGTAATTTGAACACTATCCCTTCCTTATTCTTTTTCTTAAATCCAGGAGGTTGTGAAACGTACACCTCTTCTTGTAATGGATCATTTAGAAATGCAGATTTTACATCTAAATGCATCAGAGGCCAATTCCTGTTAGAAGCTATTGCAATCACTAGTCTGATTGTTTCATGTCTCGCTACAGGTGCAAACACTTCAAAGTAATCCAGCCCAGGATTATGTAGAAAGCCTCTTGCTACTAATCTCGCTTTGTGTTTGCCAATTGATCCATCTGGATTTAGCTTATGCTTAAAAATCCATCTAACGTTGATGGCTTTCTTGCCTTTTGGAAGTTCCGTCAGCTTCCAAGTTTTGTTTCTCTGTTTCTCTCTATAGCATCAAGTTATTCTTTCATGGCCTGTAACCAAACTTCCTGCTTAAGAGCCTCTTCCGTACTCACGGTTTCTGAGTCTACTAACATTCCACACTGAATAACTTCTCCTTCAGAGTCTACTTCAGTGTCTTGCAACATGCCAAACTCTGTAAATCTTCTTGGGATGCTTCTGACTCTTTGTTTCCTCTGAATTGGACATTCAGAACCTTGGACACCAGAACTTCCCCCTTCAGAGGATCTTTTTTCAGAGTTTTGACTTTCTCCAGAACCTTGACTGTCTTCAGAGTCTGGATCATCATCGGAGTTAGAGTTAGAATCATCTTCTCCTTCTGTATCTTATTCAGAGTCATAGTCTTTACCAGCTTCAGAAACATGTATTTCTGACCTTTCTTCAGAAGTTCTGTCATCAAAGTCAGGACGAGACTTTTCCCAATTCCAAACTTCTAATTCCTCTACAATGACGTCTCTGTTGAACTCAACTTTGTTAGTTTCTGGACAATAAAGTTTGTGCAAACCTGTACTGTGATACCCCACCAGCAACATCACTTTACTTCTATCATCCAACTTCTGTCTTCTGACTTCTGAGACATGTTTGTAACATACAGAACCAAACACCTTCAGATGACTAACACTTTGCTTATCTCCAGTCCACTTCTGAATAGGAACTATTTCCTTTAATTTCTTCGTTGGACACTTGTTGAGCACATAACATGCAGTTGCAACAGCTTCTCCCCACAGAGTATGAGGAAACTTCTTCTCTTTCAGCATGCTTCTCACTATATCTAGAAAAGTACGATTTCTTCTTTCAACAAGACCATTGTGTTGAGGAGTATAGGGAGCAATAACCTCATGCTCAATTCCATTCTCCTCACAGAAACTTTTGAATTCTGTGGAGTTATACTCACCACCACCATCAGTTCTAAGAATCTTCAGAGTCTAGCCACTCTGATTCTCAGCCTTCAGTCTAAACTTTTCGAATTCAGGAAACACCTCGTGTTTGAACTTTATGAGAGATATCCATGTCGTTTTGATGAAGTCATCAACAAATGACACAAAATATTTATTCCCTCTAGTCGATGCTACTAGAAACAGACCGCACACATCAGAATGTACTTCTCCTAAGGCATGTTTTGCTCTTGGAGCTACTTCTGATGCAAAGGGTAATCTTGGTTGCTTCCCTTCCATGCACACCTTGCATGACTTTTCAGGCTTCTTGATTGTAGGAATTCCATGTACCAGATTCTTTGATTTCAGATGCCCTAAACTTCTGAAATTCAGATGACCAAATCTTCTGTGCCACAACTCACTCTCCTTGACAACACTTGTTGCACTAAGACATTTAGAGTCTGCAGTTCTAACATTCACCTTGAATGTTCTGTTCCTTCCCTGTTCTGACTCCATAATCAGCTTTTGATTACAGTCATACAACTTCAGAAGATTGTCCTTCATGGTAATTGAAAAACCTTTCTCAACCAGTTGTCCCACACTCATCAGATTGCTTTTCATGTCAGGTACATACCAAACATTCTGGATGACAGCTGCTTTCCCATTGTTTAGAATGATTCTGACATTTCCCATACCTTCTGCATTGAGGTATTTATCATCAGCACATCTGATCATTGTACTCTTCCTAGAGTCAAAATCAACCAACCACTTCTTATTTCCAGTAAGATTATTTGAACATCCAGTATCTATATACCACCATTCTGATGAATTTAGATCATCAGGTTCAGAAGTCAACAATAGCACATGTTCATCATAAGACTCTCCTCTTGCTATATTTGCTTCTTCTAACTTCCTTTCTTTGTTGGACCAGTAATCTCTGGCATAGTGACCAAAGTTCTTGCAACAGTAACACTGAACATTCTTCTTGTCGGACTTCTCCTTTCCCTTATGAACATTCTTCTGCCTATCAGAGTTTGAAGCTTCTGATCTTTGACCATCATTAGTTTTCTTCTTGGCTTCTGACCAAGTCTTCTTCTGATGCTTCTTACCAGAAGTTACCTTCAGAGCCTGCTGCTCTACTTCCCTTTCAGAAGTTCTTGCAGTCATACGCAACTCATACGCCTCTAGACTACTTTGCAACTCTTCAACTCTCATGGTGCTCAGATCTTTGGAATATTCAATTGCTAACCACAATGTAATCAAACTGAGAAGTTAAATATCTCAAGATCTTCTCAATAATTACTTGTTCAGACAGAGTTTCTCCATAAGCTTTCATCTCATTAGTGATCAGAATCACTTTAGAGATATATTCAGAAACCTTCTCATTGTCCTTCATGTTGAGATTCTCATATTTCTTTCTGGGATACTGAAGCTTCACATTCTTCACTGATGCGTCATCACCGTAACATCTGACCAGTGTGTCCCACACAGCCTTTGCTGTTTCAGAATCAACAATCTTCTCAAACACATTCACATCCACACATTGATGGATGTAGAACAATGCCTTATGATCTTTCTTCCTCAGCGCCTTCTGTGCTACCTTTTGTGCCTCTGTTGTGTTTGCTTCTAACAGATTATAGCTATCAGTGACAAGATCTAACACATCTTGAGAACCAAATAACACGCGCATCTGGATCTTCCAACGATTCCAGTTTTTGCCATCAAATACTGGAAGCTTGGAATGGATATCGTCGCTGTTTCCGTTCATCTTCTACCTTGTGCAATTTACGCAGAAACTCAATGAAAATAATGTTTCCCAAATTCCAGAATTTCTACCAGGAGCAATTTCAGAGTTTCTAACCAGAAGCTCTAGATACCAATTGTTGGTGCACAAGGAAGATAAAAGACAAAAGAAATATATTTACTGACAGCTTTTTAAATAAGGATTTACAATGAATTACAATAACATACTCCGTTATACTATTTATACACAATTAAATCTAAAATATATCTTCTACAAAGATATAAGAAGATCTAAGATATATATCTTCTAACAAAGATATAAACCATCTAAAAGATATTCCTAAATATAATATAATATATAATTAAATCTAAATTAATTCTAACAAATTCAGTTTAATTGATAATTGTGCAGAAATATTAGATCAGAGTGCAGATTCAAACCCGCAACATTCTATTTATCAATGTTTAAAATGAGTTTGAAAACATTTTTTTATAGGGGTAAATAAAAAAACGTGGATGAGGCCATTTTGGCACCCTTGTCGGCACATAGTTATGAAATCATATAGTAAAAAAATAATGTCAGGCTGAAATCATATAGTAAAAAAATAATGTCAGGCTGAAATCATAGCCATGATGGTTATCTTCCTTCCACATGTTTTGTTGAATTGAAAGTAAATAACGGCTTAGACACGGTTGTAGCATTTTACATTAGACTGGAGCAAACATTTGTTGTCGTGTGTGCAGGAGAAGAACGTAACGTATCCTGCGGTCTTGAAGAAACAAACATCCAAGCTTTTGTTTTCATGTGTACAGGACAGAAACGTAACATAACATGTGGTCTTGAAGAAACTAAACTGTGAATTCATAAATTCTGTACATATATACCAGAGAAACAATCTCAAAAACTCAAAGTAGGAACAATGAACCATGAAAGCAAAGCAAATTCAACAATCACAATTAAGGGTATTCTGAGTCTTCTAATGGAAAGTCTTGATGAGAATAATAGCAAGAGAGTTATTTCTCTTGGAATGGGTGACCCAACTCTCTCCACGTGTTTCCCCAACACTAAGGTTGCTGAAGAAGCTGTTGCAGATGCACTTCATTCTGCCAAGTTTCATGGATATGCTCCCACTCCTGGTCTTCTCCAGGCCAGAAGGTAATCTTTCTCTTTTTATATGCTATTTGCTTCTTGTTTGGCATCAACCCGATCAGGATTCGAATTTGAAAGGAAAACCCGCACTGGATTGCTTTAATTTATTATTTATAATGTATGTTATTTTTTTATGCAATTGCACTTGTTATATTTATTAATTGTTTACTAAGACTAATTAACTACATATTTGAATTCATTGTCGAAATTTGTGTGTAAAAGTATCATTTTTTATTCTAATTAAAGTTGCCTCGGATGTTGGTGACAGAGCAATTGCCAAATATCTATCAGATGACCTCCCTTACGAGCTATCATCTGATGATGTTTTTATAACATGTGGATGCACACAAGCCATTGATGTTTCGTTTACGTTGCTTGCTCGCCCGGCTGCAAATATTTTGCTACCAAGACCCGGCTTCCCAATCTATGAACTTAGTGCTGCATTTAGACAAGTTGAAGTGAGACATTATGATCTGTTGCCTGAAAAAGGTTGGGAGGTTGATTTAGATGCTATTGAAGCCCTCGCAGATCGGAACACGGTCGCAATAGTGATTATAAACCCCGGGAACCCTTGTGGAAATGTATATACTTATCATCACTTGGAGAAGGTTTGTTAGTACTAATAGTATATGGCTCCAATGACAGACAACTTGTTTGTTTGTTGCTAAAAAACTTGACAACATTAAATTTAACAGGAAGAGTTAATAAGTTTGTTTTTTTGACTATTTTAGATTGCAAAAACAGCAAAATGCTTGGAACAATTGTGATCGCTGATGAAGTTTATGGTCACCTTGCATTTGGGGATAATCCTTTTGTGCCTATGGGAGTTTTTGGGTCTATTGTTCCTGTTCTAACTCTTGGATCATTGTCTAAGAGATGGATAGTACCTGGATGGAGACTTGGTTGGTTTGTCACAAATGATCCATCTGGTACTTTCAGAAAACCAAAGGTTAATTCTCTCTTAATTTCATCCATTCTACTAAACTACTCTCCCATGTGAATAATCAATCATTTACAAGTATTTAGCAATTTGCCCAAGAATCTGGCTAGCTAGGGGTCAAGTATTTTAGCAATTTGCCCAAGAATCTGGCTAGCTAGGGGTCAAGTATTTAGCAATTTGACCAAGAATCTGGCTAGCTAGGGGTCAAGTATTTAGCAATTTGCCCAAGAATCTGGCTAGCTAGGGGTCAAGTATATTGTTCTTTATGATAAGTCAAAAACCTGAACGAATGTTTCTTATGCAGGTAGTAGAGCGCATCAAAAAGTACTTTGATCTATTGGGAGGCCCAGCTACTTTCATCCAGGTTCTTTAATTCACTATTTCTAAGGAAACAAATAGATTCCTTTGAACAATAGTAATGTTGTAATTTAACTGAAGCAACTCAAATCTACTTAAAAGCATTGATTGATGTTATAACTTCGTCCATATGATTGATATATAGGAGTTTTGGTTTCACAGGCAGCAGTACCCTCGCATAATTACACAGACAGAAGAGGTTTTCTTCAGAAAAACCATTGACAGTTTGAGGCTTACCGCGGATATATGTTGCCAAGAGATGGAAGACATTCCATGCATTTCTTTCCCTTGCAAACCACAAGGATCCATGGCTATGATGGTGAGTGAGAAACTCAGAGTCAGAGTCTACTTTTTCGGAGGACAAAACATGTTTCTTTGTAAAAGCAAAAACACTGTTTATTTGTTTATTTATTCTTGAATGACATGTTATGCAGGCGGAACTAAACCTTTCGCTTCTGGAAGATATTAGTGATGATATTGATTTCTGTTTCAAACTTGCAAAGGAGGAATCTGTTATCATTCTTCCAGGTACAATTATGCATACCGTGCTTGTATTTGGCATTTTGTTTGTATGCATCTTTTTTTGAGAGTCATTTCATTTGCATATCTTGCTTGCTAGTGAACTTTGCAGGTAACAAAACAAAATTCAAAATTGTTTGCAGGAACTGCAGTAGGGGCTAAAAGATTGGATTCGTATCACTTTTGCTGCTGATCCATCAGCTCTAAGAGAAGGTATGAAAAGGATAAAAGATTTCTCTCAGAGACACGCAAGAGAGCAGTAAAAACAAACAATGGTGGATAAACAAAATAAGGAGTCTCCTAAGCATGTGTTATAGCCCTTGGACTCTGTCTCCTGCTAAAGAATTATGTATTCTTTTTAGAATGGAAGATTTGTATTTCAGTACAGCATATAAGCATGTGTTATAGTCCTTAGACTTTGTCTCCTGCTAAAGAATTATGTATTCTTTTTAGAATGGAAGATTTATATTTCAGTACAGCATATTAGCATGTTTTATAGTTTTTGGACTCTGTCTCCTGCTAAAGAATTATGTATTCTTTTTAGAATGGAAGATTTGTATTTCAATACAGCATATAAGCATGTGTTATAGCCCTTGGACTCTGTCTCCTGCTAAAGAATCATGTATTCTTTTTAGAATGAAAGATTTGTATTTCAGTACAGCATATAAGCATGTGTTATAGCCCTTGGACTCTGTCTCCTGCTAAAGAATTATGTATTCTTTTTAGAATGGAAGATTTGTATTTCAGTACAGCATGGACTCTGTCTCCTGCTAAAGAATTATGTTCTCTTTTTAGAATGGAAGATTTGTATTTCAGTACAGCATATAAGCATGTGTTATAGCCCTTGGACTCTGTCTCCTGCTAAAGAATTATGTATTCTTTTTAGAATGGAAGATTTGTATTTCAGTACAGCATATAAGCATGTGTTATAGCCCTTGGACGATGTCTCCTGCTAAAGAATTATGTATTCTTTTTAGAATGGAAGATTTGTATTTCATATAAGCATGTGTTTATAGCCCTTGAACTCTGTCTCCTGCTAAAGAATTATGTATTCTTTTTAGAATGAAATATTTGTATTTCAGTACAGCATATAAGCATGTGTTATAGCCTCTGGACTCTGTCTCCTGCTAAAGAATTACGTATTCTTTTTAGAATGGAAGATTTGTATTTCAGTACAGTATACTATACTAATATGTTATTTTTCTCGATTAATAGGACCAATTAACACATGTGCACAATCTTTTCTAAAATAGGATTGAAGAAGCCACTCAATCATTCATTTTCTAGACTGGTAGAAAAGATACAAATCACCGAATACTACTTCCTCTATTTCAAAATGAGTGTCGATATTGCCCATTTACTGAATTAGTTATATTAATTTATTAAAAGTAATGTGCAGAGTAATAATTATAGGACACAATCGAAAAAGTAATTATCATTGTTATATATATATAACAATATATATATAAAAGTAATTTTTATAATTTAAGCTGGAATATAGGGCATGGGATATAGTGGGACACCTACTTTTCCAGTTGACCAATGCATTTTTTTTTTGTTATTATTGCCAACAAATTGTATATGTAATAAACTGTCATATTAATTAATAATACTTCACACAAATTACCACCTAAATGTCATAAATTAATATCATACTTAATGTCACATGAATGTATTATATATATATATATATATATATATATATATTATATATATATATATATATATATAATATATATATATATATATATATATATATATATATATATATATATATATATATATATATCTATAGTATATATATATATATATATATATATATATATATATATATATATATATATATATATAATGTATGTGATAAATTAATTTCAATTTATTTATTTAAATATATACTATATAATATAAATTAATTTTTAGTTTATTATATAGTAAAAATTAATTTCAGATTATTTTTAGTTTGTTATTGTAATATATTAAAAATTAATTTAAATTTATTTTAATATATAAAAAGTTAATTTCAATTTATTTATCTAAATATATATTATATATTACAAATTAATTTCAGTTTATTATATGTTAAAAATTAATTTTAATTAATTTTAAAATATACATTACAATTTATTTATTCAGATATATATTATAAGTTATATTTAAATTAATTTCAATTTATTTCTATATATTATTTTAAAAAAATTATACATCAAAACACATATTAATAGTTTATATTAAAATATAAAATTAATTAAAACAGAAAATTAATTAAAAATACTTTTAATAGTTGTTATTATTAAAATAATTAAAACAGAAAATTAATGATAAATTAAAATTAATTTTTAATAATATTAAAAATATTATGCATTTAAATTAGTTTTAATAATATTAATAATATATATGTTCGTATATATATATATATATATATATATATATATATATTATATATATATATATATATATATATATATATATATATATATATATATATATATATATATATATATATATATATATATATATATATATATATATATATATATATATATATATATATATATATATATATATATATATATATATATATATATATATATATATATATATATATATATATATATATATATATATATATATATATATATATATATATATATATATATATATATATATATATATATATATATATATATATATTTAAAGTATATATTTAATTTATTTATATTTTTAATATTAGTGGTTTCAAATTCAATGATCTTCTTAATATCAGTGGTTGTTATAAAGTTGGATGAGTCACCTGCAGTTGTATCAATAAGTTGCTTTGTCTTCATTCTGAGGTCATTTACAAGCTTTTATATTTGTTCAGTTTGATCCATATTGTGACTGAGACAAACTACCAATACCCTCTTGAATCTCTTATAAGTATCACCTAGTGACTCTCCTTCTTTCTGCTTAAAATTCACAATATCATATCTTTTGCGAATGCAAGCAGAAGCAGGAAAGTATTCATTAAGAAAAGTCTTCTTCATCTGTTCCCAAGTAGTAATACTTCCAGCAGGCAATGAGTAAAACCACTATTCATCATCTTCTGAAAGTGTGAACGGAAACATTCTTAATTTCTTAACTTCTTTAGAGTGTCCCTCAATCTTCAAAGTAGTACTCATAGTAAGAAATCTTTGCAAATGCTTATTCGTATCTTCATTTATCTTATAGGTGAAAGATTTGTTCTCAAGCTGTCGAATTGTTGAGGGGTGAAGCTGAAAATCTGCAACAGTTACCGGTTGATTCACAATAGTCAACCAACCTACTGGAATATTTGCTCCTCCATAGTCTCCAAGAAGTCTCTCCGGTGCTGGTAGATCTTCAGCCATTGATTTTTCCTCTTCCGACTCTGACTCTATATGCTCTGAAAGATGTTCTGACTCTGTATGAACTGAATGTTCTTTGTCGGAAGCCATTATGGCTAAAGGAGCTTGTCTACGCCTTGCGTGAAAAGTTCTTTCAATTTATGCGTCAAAAGAAAATTCAGCTGATGGCTTTCCTCGCATACAAAGGTTAGACACAAATCAGTAATAACGAAAATATAAAAATAACAGAAAATAAAATTTTAGTCGTAGAGCAACAAAATTTTAATTGAACTAAAATTGAACTCTATAATCTGGCAGTCCCAGCAACAGCGCCAAAAACTTGATCGGTAAAATAACAAGTGTATTATTTTGCCTCTGCAGTAATAATGAGGAAAGTTTCCTGAATGTCGATCTCAAAGACTGTGTGTAGATATTGGATTCTAGTTGTTGTTTAATTAAACAAAAACTAATGTTTGGAATTGTTTTGATAAATTATGAAAATAATCGCGAATAAAGCAAATAGATGCGGTGAACGGTTTCGACATATATGAATAGCATGTTAGGGAAGATGTGTGATTTATTCCTGTAACAACTCTGAATTAACATTGCAATAATATATTATCCACAATCAATTACCAGTTCTTAAGGATAATTACTCCAAAATCCTTAGTGAGCAAACCTTTAATCATTCATCCTAAACCCTATGTCCATAGAAATTTAACGAGGAAATTAAACATTATTAAATTAAGAATAATCCGATTACTATAGGATATCCCTAGTCTTATGTGATATCTACTGTAGAATATTCTCATGAAGACATTACCAACGGAGGTCCAACCTAATTGATAATCATACATCAATCTCAATTTTTTCGAAAGAAAAAGCATTAAGAACATCAAGAGAATAAATTAATTATGAGAAACAAATTGTCATTGCAATAGTAAAATCAAAGTGATTACAGATCCAAATCAGGGACACCCCCTAGCATTGAGGGATTTAACTACTCATAATATTCAAAAAAAACATAGTAGTAAGTGTAGACATTACAGATTAATGATGGAAATTAAGTCTTCAATTGCAAAAGCTCATGAAAATCTTGATTGCAAACATAAATATGAGTTCTGCGTCCTTCGACAATGTTGTTATTTGTCAAAAATTGTCCAACCCCTGAGAAATCACGCCCCTGGCTTTTATAACGCGTACTGGGCTTTTCAGCCAAATTTGGACTTCCATACGCGTATCATACGCATATGGCTGCAAACAGCGTAGATCTCATACGCGCACAAAACGCGTTTCGCTTGCCTGCATGGACCCACACGCGTATCACACGCGTACATGCAGAATGAAATTTTGCTTGTGTTTTAGTGCTCTGCGTACGGAACGCGTACGGGCTAGCCATGTACCAGGCCATACACGTATGGTACGCGCATGGACAACCTTGATGACCTTTCTATGTTTCCTTTGACTTTGTGAATCTGTATTCAACCAACACATTACCAAAAAGCGTAAAAACAACCAAAATAATTTAAATCTCTTAAAACAGTAACTAAATAAAAATTGACTCAAACAACTACTAACTAAAAACAAAAGTGTTACAATTTTTCTGAATTTTTGACGAATAAGAAATAGAACTATAACACAAATGGTGACAAATTAATATGAGTAGTAAGATTCGATAAATAAATTGATAGCTATTATGTCTTGGTCTTGCTCAAGACCAAAAGAAGAGAAAGATTGAATAAAAGAGATAATGAGAAGTTCTACCAAAATATATATATATATATATATATATATATATATATATATATATATATATATATATATATATATATATATATATATATATATATATATATAAAACAATCCGAGTATGCAATTCCGAAAATCCTTTAAACTTAAAATTACAATAGCAATTGGAAAATGAACACAAACACTGCTTGCGTATTTAAATGGAGATCACGAATATGTCCTCTTTGATTTACTTGACAAGGAATAGGTAATTGAAATTAGTAGTAAAAAAATTAATTATCGAAATTACATGCATGAATCTGTTGTAGGATTCAAAGTAATTGAAAAAATAGCATGCAACAACAACGACAACGATAGCATGCAACCTGTTCAAGAAATGAAGCACTTTATCTACGTAATTGCAAGTTGGTGTTTGGCATGATAATAATAATTCAGTAGTAATTAGAGTACCACATCGATTTAAATAGAAAAATGATTAGTATTTATATAGCAAACACTAATATAAGTTTCGTGATAGCTTAATGAACTTTGTTTTCCTTTTTTGTTCCAGCCCCCTCTTAATCTAAGAAAAAGACTCTATCTCCATTTTATCATCCCAATTCCATTGGGGAATGGCGCTCGTAAGAGCTTGCTTGTTCAAGATCCCGTCTCACCGTAATCGTATTCCTTTCGTTTCTCACTTGTCACTCTCACCACCTCTCGCTCTTACTCTTCCTCAAAACCACTCCTTCATCAACGCTCTTACTCTTCCTCAAAACCACTCCTTCATCAACGCTCTTACTCTTCCTCAAAACCACTCCTTCACCATCTCTGCTTCACTTTCCACTTCACACTCTCACTCTCACTCTCACACCACCCGCTTCAAACCAATCTGTCTGTATCACACACAGGGAAAGTGCACCAAGGCAACGTTCCTCCCTTTTGCTTTTCTTTTAACGCTTTTTGCTTCATTTCTCTTTCTGCCTAAATTTTCGTTCGCATACCACCTGTTTGATCAAATGTGTCTATTAGTAGTTTTGATGCTCTTCTTTTCTCCGTTTTTGTAGATGGATGATCTTATTCACCTTCAAAAGTTTAATCATGATTGCTCCACGGAGCTTCAACTAAATATTGCTCAGTTAAACAAAATACGCTCGCACAATCTAGACTTTTTCCTTGTACTTGATTTAGAGGGCAAGGTTGAGATTCTTGAGTTTCCGGTACTAATGGTTAGTGCAAAAACATTGCAAGTTGAACACATTTTCCACAGGTTTTTTTTCTGCCACTGTCTAGTAAGACTAGTGTTCTGTTTTTCATTTTAATTATCCTTTCTTTTCATAACTCTATATTTACCCTTTGCTGTGTTCAGTACTTGTAAAAGTAATATTGTTGACATTACTTTTCTTGGAATATAGCGAAATATCAGAAAGATCAACTTCTAATTATACACAAGCATCATTTTCATATTAAAAATTCTTTTGGAAATACTTTATATTTTCTATTGAATGGAATACTAGGCTCTTCAGTTTTAAACCCTCAAATGCGACAGCTGGCTTGTGAGGTTTGCATAATATTTGAGATTAATATGTTGTGACTTCTTAAGTTAGTTTCTAATGAATTCAGAAATATAATTTACTTTTGAGGATTATCAAATTTTGGACAACTTTTTTATTTCTTTTTGTATAACTTACTCTTTTTTCATTGTTCCTTTATCTGTCAAATAGGTTTGTGAGGCCTTCAAGTATGACCGAACAAAGAATAAATGAATACATTGAAGGAAAGTACGGAAAAATTGGAGTTGATAGGTATGAAACTTTTTTTTAGAGTCCTACTTCCTTATATTTAAGGTATTGTTAGTGCAAGGTGATGAAATTGAGGAAGAAGGAAGAAAAAGAAATAAATGCTAAAAGCCGCCACAAATAATTGAAGAGAATTGATTGTATTAAATGTAAATCTAGTACACCTATTTATACACAAAAGTAGTAAAGATAAGAATGCCACATAGGGCCTAAAGGGAATATCCTACATATGACAAATACTAAATTACCCTCTAATACCATCCCGTAACTTAGTAACTATCAGAAGTTAACAACACCAATTTCATCTCTCAAGCGAATAAATTGGTCTATTTTTATCGCCTTTGTCCGAACATCTGCCAGCTGCTTCTAAGTGCTACAGTGCAGAACTTCTAACACTCCTTTCTGCACTTGACTTCTGAGAAAGTGATACTTCGTCTCAATGTGCTTCCTTCTTCCATGTAGCACTGAATTCTTGCCAAGATTAATTGCAGGCTTATTATCAATCATCAGCTTCAGAGGTTTCTCAACTTCAACTTTCAGATCATGCAGGAGATTCAGAAGCCAAACTGTTTGACAAGCAGCTACAACACTTGTAATGTATTCAGCTTCACATGTTGACAAAGCCACAACAGGCTGTTTCTTGGAACTCCAAGAAATTGGACCTCCCAGAAACTTGAACAAGTACCCAGAAGTACTTCTTCTGTCAACTCTATCTCCACACCAATCAGAATCAGAATAACTCAGAAGTTCTGATTTGATCTTTCCTCCAGAAGAAAATAACACTCCATATTTCAGAGTTCATTTTACATACCTCAGAATCCTGACAGCAGCTTGGTAATGAGACCATTTTGGTTTGCTCATGTATCTGCTGACCATTCCAACTGCATAGCAAATATCAGGTCTGGTATTACACAAATACCTCAGAGAACCAACCATCTGTTTGAAGGTTGTACCATCCACATCCTCTCCATCAGAATCAGAGTCCAACTTTTGATTCGTATCAGCAGGTGTGATAGCAACCTTGCAATTTTCTAGCTCAAATCTCTTCAGAAACTCTATTTCATACTTCTTTTGATGTAAAATGATTCCTTTCTCAGAGTATATAAATTCCATCCCTAGAAAGAAACTCATTTTTTCAAGATCTGTCATCTCAAATGCATTCATCAGAACTTTCTTTAACTCAGTTGTTTCTTGTTCAGAACTTCCTGTGAGTAATATGTCATCAACATACAAACAGACCAGAATCATATTACCTTCTGAAGTGTGCTGAACATAAACACCATACTCCATCTCACACTTCTGAAACCCTTGTTCATTGAAAAACGAATCAATCTTCAAATTCCAAGCTCTGGGCGCTTGCTTCAGTCCATACAAAGCTTTATTTAACCTGTATACCATCTCTTCCTGATTCTTTTTCACAAATCCAGGAGGTTGTGACGCATAAACTTCTTCCTGTAATGGACCGTTCAGAAATGCAGACTTCACATCCAGATGTATCAAAGGCCAATTTCTGTTTGCAGCTAAAGCAATAACCAGTCTGATTGTTTCGTGTCTAGCTACAGGCGCAAACACCTCAAAGTAATCTAGTCCAGGTTTCTGAAGAAAACCTCTGGCCACTAGTCTCGCTTTGTGTTTGCCAATTGATCCATCTGGCTTTAGCTTCTGCTTGAAAACCCATCTGACGCTGATGGCTTTCTTGCCTTTTGGAAGTTCTGTCAGCTTCCAAGTCTTGTTTCTTTCAATAGCCTCAAGTTCTTCTTTCATGGCATTCAGCCATACTTTCTTCTTGAGAGCTTCTTCAATACCCACTGGTTCAGAATCTACTAGCATGGCACACTGAACGATTTCTCCCTCAGAGTCTACTTCAGTATCATGCAACATGCTAAAATTTGCAAACCTACTTGGTATTCGTCTGATTCTCTGTGGCCTCTGATCTTGTTCTGAAGCTTCTCCAGAACTCGGAACAATGCTAGCTTCTGGACTTTGTCCAGAATTATTTCCTTCAGAATTACCACCTTCAGAGTTACTTCTTGAAACTTATTCTCCAAACCCCATGTCTTCAGAGTTTTCCCTTCCAGAAGTATAATCACCACCAGATTCTGGATCATCATCAGAATCAGATCCACTATCAGAATCTCCCTGAGATTCTGACTCATCTTCAGAGTCTTCATCTTCTGACTCTGACTCGTCTTCAGAACTTTCTGAAGAATCTTCAGAAACTAACCCTGGTGTTGGCGCTACCCCAGAATCTGATTGAAGCTTGTTCCAATCCCATGTTTCTGGCTCTTTCACAATGACGTCTCTGTTGATTTCAACTTTGTTGGTTTCTGGACAATAAAGCTTATAGGCACCTGTACTGTGGTACCCCACCAGTAACATTGTTTTGCTTCTATCATCCAGTTTTCGTCTTCTAGCCTCTGGAACGTGTTTGTAGCATACAGAACCAAACACCTTCAGATGGCTAACACTTTGCTTGTCTCAAGTCCATTTTTCTAAAGGAACAATTTCCTTCAGCTTCTTTGTTGGACATCTATTCAGAACATATGCTGATGTGGCAACAGCCTCTCCCCATAACATGTGAGATAACTTCTTCTCTTTCAGCATACTTCTGGTCATATCAAGCAAAGTTCTGTTTCTTCTTTCAGCAAGGCCGTTGTGCTGAGGAGTATATGGAGCAGTAACCTCATGTTCTATTCCATTCTCCTCACAGAACTTTTGGAACTCTGTAGAGTTATACTCACCTCCACCATCTGTTCTCAGAATCTTCAACTTCTGACCACTCTGCTTCTCAGCCTTCACCTTGAACTTCTGGAACTCAGTAAACACTTCATGCTTGAACTTGATGAGTGTTACCCATGTCATTCTTGTGAACTCATTCACAAAAGACACAAAATATTTGTTTCCTCCAAGTGAAGGTACTGGAAATGGTCCACACACATCAGAATATACTACTCCCAGAGCATGCTTCGCTCTGGGGGCTACTTCTGATGCAAATGACAATCTGGGTTGCTTGCCTTTCATGCATATCTCACATGACTTCTGAGGCTTCACAATCTTCGAAATGTCATGTACGAGCTTCTTAGAACTTAGATGCCCTAAGCTTCTATAGTTCAAGTGCCCTAACCTCTTGTGCCACAGCTTACTGTCAGCTTCAGCGCCTTCTGCACTAAGACACTCCGCTTCAGAAGTTTCTACATTCACCTTGAATGTTCTGTTGTTTCCCTGCTCAGACTTCATAATCAACTTCTGATTAGAATCATACAACGTCAAGAGGTTGTCCTTCATAACCACTGAAAAACCTTTCTCAATAAGCTGACCCACATTCATCAGATTGCTTTTAATTCCAGGAACATACCAAACATCTTTGATCAGAATGTTTTTTCCATTCTTCACTCTGACTCTGACATTTCCCATACCTTCTGCATTAAGGTACTTATCATCAGCACATCTGATCTTTGTTCTCCTTCTGGAGTCAAAGTCTATCAGCCATTGTTTGTTCCCAGTCAAGTGGTTTGAACAGCCAGTGTCCATATACCACCAATCTTCTGAACAGTTTCCATCAGAATCAGAAGCCATCAGTAGCACAGGTTCATCATCAGAATCTCCTCTGGCTATATTTGCTTCTTCTGATATCCTTCCTCCGTTTCTACAATCTCTGGCAAAATGACCAAACTGTTTACAACAGTAACATTGAACCTTCTTCTTGTCATACCTTTCCTTTCCCTTCTGATATTTCTTTTCATCAGAAGTTGAGGTTTCTGACTTCTGGAATTTATCACCACGTCTATTCTGCTTCTGGTCCTTCTTGACAAAAGAAGCTTTCAGAGCTTGCTCCACTTCCCTCTCAGAAGTTCTTTCAGTCAGACACAACTCTTGCGCTTCTATACTGCTTTGCAACTCTTCTATTCTCATGGTTTCCAGATTTTTAGAATGTTCAATAGAAACAACAATGTAATCAAACTGAGGAGTAAGTGACCTCAGAATCTTTTCTATGATTACCTGTTCAGAAAGTGTTTCTCCACAAGCTTTCATCTCATTAGTGATCAGAATCATTCTAGAGATGTACTCAGAAACTTTCTCACTGTTCTTCATGCTGAGATTTTCATATTGCTTTCGCAGAGACTGAAGCTTTACCTTCTTTACTGACAAGTCACCACCATAACATCTGGCCAGTATATCCCATGCTCCTTTCGACGTCGTCGAATCAACAATCTTCTCAAACACATTTTCATCCACACACTGATGGATAAAGAACAGAGCTTTCTGATCCCTCTTCCTCGTAGCTCTTTCTTCTGATTTTTGTTCTTCAGTAGCATCTGCTGCAACTGGAACATAACTTTCAGAAACAAGGTCCAGAACATCCTGAGCATCAAACAGCACACGCATTTGTAACTTCCATCTGTTCCAGTTTTTGCCATCAAAAACTGGAAGTTTAGTGTACAAACTACTGCCTCCATTCATCTTAAACCTTGCACAAAAACTCAGATCTCAGATTCTCACTCAGTGTTTCCCAAACCCACAGAATCAGTGTGATTCTATTTCTGATTTTTGTTCAAGATTCAAAAATCAAACACACAGCTCACTATCACTTGTGTTTCCCAGAATTTCAGAACAAACCAAGAGCTCTAGATACCAATTTGTTAGTGCAAGGTGATGAAATTGAGGAAGAAGGAAGAAAAAGGAATAAATGCTAAAAGCTGCCACAAATGATTGAAGAGAATTGATTGTATTAAATGTAAACCTAGTACACCTATTTATACACAAAAGTAATAAAGATAAGAATGTCACATAGGGCCTAAAGGGAATATCCTACATATGACAAATACTAAATTACCCTCTAATAGATATATGTATACAATCTTCACAGTTTTCATTTTTACTACCGAAAAGAGTCTATTAAGCAGATTCAACTCTTTTCCGAATTTTGTCCTTCATGTAGTGTTTTCTCTGTAACATTTGTAATTTAAGGTTGCTTGTAGTAAGGTATGATTTCGTGTGTTTAGTGCCTATGTTAGAATAGTTAAATAAGATTGGTTATTGGTGTACCACTTAGATTAATCATAAAAATAGTTTGGTTTTTTTCTGCCAGAGTCTGGCATGATACAGCCATACCATTCAAGAAAGTTATTGAAGAATTTGAAGCTTGGCTAATGCAACAAAAGCTATGGATTGGAGGAGAACTTAATCGTGCAGCATTTGTAACTTGGTAAATGTCATTCTTTCATGGTTTACCTCTTTTACTTTTACTTTTTCTTATTTGCTATGTTACATTAATTTCCTGCCTTATAAATCTAGAATAACTTCATTTTTTCTTTTAAATAAAATTCGTTTGCTTTTGCAGTGGAAATTGGGATTTGAAAACAAAGGTCCCTCAACAGTGTGAAGTGTCAAGGATAAAGCTTCCCAGTTATTTTATGGAATGGATTAATCTCAAAGATATCTATCTGAACTTTTATAATAGGAGGGTAAGTTCTTTTAACATTTAGAATTAGAATTATGGAAACTTTGGGAAAATCATTCAATGGAATTCTTGAAGATTAATTGAAGTGTTTAATAATAACTCTGTATGGATGCTTCTGTTTTAAAATCAATATAAGATTTATATTTTGGAGCTTAAGTGGTATGGTCTAGTCTCGTAGATTTGGATATACGGTCTTGAACTGTAAATTATGATTGTAACAATAGATTTCTTCTTCATTATTGTTCTATTTTGGGAACATGTGTGGGCTCGTCTTTGAGAACCCATCAATCATCATCAGAGTAAAATTACTCAAGAACTTCTATGAAAAGTTTTTTCATAACTGATAGAATATAGCCGGTCTCAAAATGATTACCAAAATAATTGATAGAATGTTTCAGACATGATTAACCAATTCTAGTTACAAATTGAAAAACAAAATTGTTTTCCATTCTCTTGTGTACCTTTTTCTTTTATTATCATGCATTGAATAATAACCCGGTGAATTTGAAAATATTTAATAAATGGGTCTTTTAATTACTTTCTTCCTATTAATGACATGAATGTACAAAACCGTTTATAAACAACTTCAGCTTTATCATGTACTACATGAAATTTTATTAATCATAATATTTCTCCAATATTACATGTTTCCTTGATAATGGATAACAGGCTCCAGGAATGGTTACAATGATGAAGCAGCTGCAGATACCTTTGGTGGGAAGTCATCATCTTGGCATTGATGACACAAAGAACATAACGAGAGTACTGCAACACATGCTTGTGGATGGTGCACTCGTACAGATTACTGCAAGGAGGAATCCTAAGTCTCCTCGAGATGTGGACTTTCTTTTCAAGAACCGTATCTGACTGGACTTTAACTTCAATAGTGTACTCATAATTTGCACTAGTAAGTTGTTGAGTTCAACTTTTCGAAGTCTTAGTATTCGATTTTAGTTTAGTCAAACATTAAAAATAGTCACGTAGAATGTTATTGTACAATTGTAAAGGAAATTAAGGATGAAATAGTTTTTAAACAAGCTGCTACAATGATTGTTAACATCGCTATTCTTAATTCCTTTTATGCAAACCTGGCCTAGCGGCATATGTTTTGTTTCTCCTGTAATTTATGGATTAGAAATGTAGGCTTAAACATATTGACTATCCTCACTCTCTTTTATAATTCTTGAGTGGGCAATTTCTGTCCCTGCTCAGTATCTATTTAGATATTGGTGTGAGCAGAATTGTTTTTTCCACCTTAAACATTGCTCTCCACTCTATTGAAAAATCAAAGTTATCTCTAAAATTTGAAAAATGCATCTCTGGACGCCATCCTATTCACATCTAACTCATTCGCTTTTTAGGCAAACCTTAAGATTAGTCAAAAAGAATAATACAAAAATGTTTCTCCACACACCTTACTCATACGTTTTTTAGACAAACTTTAAGATTAATCAAAAACATGTCAAACCCTTCTCCTCCTTCATTTCTCTTTTACTCTCTCAACTCACAAACTCTCAAATTCACTCAACTTACATCCAAGTTTCTACCATAAACATCCAATCGCTCAAATAACTCACAATCAAACTCACATTTGGTAAGTTTTTGATTTCTCTATAAATTTTTTATTTCTCTATATATTTGTAGAAATTGAGCATTAGGTTATGTAATAGGTAGTTTATATGTGTTATTTAACTGAGCAATGTGTTTGGTGGGTAGTTTAAATGATCAATGCATTTTTTAGATGTTGTATTCAAATGCATTTCTTTCATTTTATGTTCTTCTCTGAGTTGCAGAACAATACGGAAATGCACTTCCAGATTTGTTCAACGTTATGATTTTCCAGAATTCGAAAATGCATTTTCATATCTAGTCAGTCTGCATTGTTTGGCTTTATTTTCATTGTGTTTCATCTGTATAATGTTTGTGTTGTTTAATTATAGGCATTATGACAGAGTTGTGTAACATGCATCAGTTTAGAAGGAAAGAGCTCGTGCCTCGCAAGCACCGGTCGGTTCTAGTTCGGTTGATGCAAAGGGTCAACTTCTGGGGCTCATGCATCTTTGTCTTCTTCTTTCCGTGGGAGGCAAGTGTCACCTCCTAATGCCCCGGAAGCCCCACCGGTCCAAGTCCAGGCACTCCAGGGGTTTGGATGAGGTTCGTTCGACTTATCGTTGCTGCTTCTATATTTAAACTATATTGACAAGCATGTATGGGATGAAAAGGTAAAGTTCAATTGTGAAACTGTGGTATGTAAGACTTCAGATGTCCTATGACATGTTGAGACATATGATCTGACTTAAATCAATAAAGGCGAGGTATACACATGTAAAAACAGTACTGAAAAGCATAAATAACACATAAATTGTTGATCCAGTTCGAAGTAACTCTCCTACTCTGGGGGCATACCAAGTCAGAGACAAGTCCATTATGATAGTATCAATTCATAGACCCTACAACAAACATATCAGTTTACGATCTACTCACTTAATCACTATCCGTGCTATACTTCTATCTAAGACTCACCTAGATATGAGGTCTTCCTTAATCCCTCATCAATCACAGACAACGATTGGACAAAAACACAAGATGACACACTTCCATGACAGCAAAACAGCAGACGCACTTCCATGACAATACTCATTAAGACACTTGATAAGAACACAACTTGAAGTTACTTAAAAGCTTCCTCCAAGAACAATACTCATTCTTGCTTCACAGCTTCGAGGATAACAATAATCAACTCATTACCTAAAGGCTTCTGAGTGATAATAGAACCTTGCAACTCAAGGAACACAATCTAAATCACATGTCGAGTGGATCACACATACCAACTCTCCTAGATAGTGGCTTACAGACTCTGCTCTAATGATTACATCTTTCTAATTCTCGACTGATACATTTCTTAGGTTACAATGCTTCTATTTATAACCTATCTCCCAACTGAATTTGGACTTCAAATCACAACATATCAGTTGTTACAAATCAGCTGAAGATTCTGCTACAAAATAGGTCTTCAATCAAATCTTTTCTAAAAAGTCTGCTTATTTAAAAAGTCAATATTCTTCAATATTCTTCTTGACCTACAAATCAGCACCACATAATATTGCATAAGATTTCCAGAATATTTTGTATCAGTTAAATTATAGCAGAATCTAACTGTTCAGCTCAGCTCGGGCGCGATGTCGTATGACCCTGCATAAGACATCTTATCTGACATGTTAATCCAGATGTTGAAACATTTCAACTCAACATATTTATTTATAAGATATGACTTCTTACTCAACTTATTCCTGTTAGCAAGTTAACACATCATATCTAACGTATTGCTGTCTTATTTATTTTACAAAAATTAATGTCAATCCTAAAACTAGAGAACTAACAATCCCCCCTTTGACAAATTTTGGCTAAAAAAAATAATATAAATTACAATTCAGATTACAATAATAAACAACAAACATCCACCAACAATAGTCCTCAGAAACTACTGAACACAACAATATAGCATCATGAAGTCAGTCTTCATAAGCACAATGATGTTAGGACATCATATTCGACATCTTCTTCATAGAAACTCCATTGTAGCAAGAACTTCAACACCAAAGAACAACAACCTCAGGATGAAGGAGTAGAAAGTCCTAAAGTCATTTGGTGTATATGAGAAAGAAGATAGCTTGCACTCCCCCTCAACCCAGGAACCTATTCTTGTCACAGAAAAACCAATGGTGGCATAAGAGAACCCTTAATCACTCCTTAATCAACAACCAAACACCAACCTAGAGCACAAGAGGAAATTTAAGATCAAATAAACCACCACCATTGATAACTCAGAGCACAAGTCACAACTGTGTTCATAACTCATATCACAAGTCACAAAACAAGTCCAAACAGACATAGGATCAGGCATCCTATTCGACATGTTTGTAACATATTTGGAAGAACAAACTTCAGATCCATCTGATCAATAACTTTCTCTCTCTTTTTGGCCAAAAATTGACAAATAAGGCCCTCACAAAACCAAACCTAAACACAGCTCACCCATACTAAAAAAAAACTCATAAGGATTGTGAAAACTCAGAACATTCACAAGGTGAAAGAGGAAAAGGTTAACCTCTATAAGTAGCTGGATATTTTATTGGGAAATAATGATCCTTGATTGTAGCAATGGTCTTGGTCAAAAGGAAACGTTATTTGAGGAGAAAACTGCCACTAAAAACAACGTGCACCGTCCAAAACATCTTTGAATGACTTTATTAGCTCTGGAATGTTTCTGCTGAAAATAAATAGTCCTAATACATGCACATGCACATTCAAACACACTTTATACACTCCCTTTTGACACGTATTTGATCACACCATCCACAAAACTCTTTTGTTGATCACATAGGAAACATGTCCTGAATAATGCCCTGACATCCAGTTAAACATTGTCTTCTTTCTCTTGAATGCACAAACTCGTGACCAACATATCTTTAACCATCAGTCTAAAAATGCTTCACAAAATTATCTACAAATAATCTGAAGCATAAACACAACACATTCAATTGGACTCTAAGTGTACTCATTTCACTTAGACTTAGTGAAACACACCAAAACATCAGAACCCAAAAAACATTACATGCTTGACATCAAGCCTCACAAGAGATAAACTAACTCCACAACACGCAAGCCTCAACAAAAAACGAAACCATTGTAGTCATAAACCATAGACAAGCACAAACATTCCATGTCAAGGATAATCAATGATCCTTCTGAACATAGCCAGTTTAGCACCAAATGGAAACACATGAAGTTTCTCTAGCTCCTTGAGAGCACATCCAAGCCCATGGTCATACTCTATAGTTGCACACGTGTTGGTGCAAGATCAATATTGTACTGGTATTGCTTGTAAAAAGCAGCAACCAAATCTTCCGAAGTACGAATATTGGTCACTTCCAGTTGATAGAACCATTCCAACTGTGTTCCAGACAGGCTCTCGTGAAAGAAATGCACCAATAACTTTCTGTCAGCAGTGTGTGGTTGAATCTTCCGGACATATGGCCTCAAATGAAGCTTTGGGAAAGAAACTCCATCATATTTTGAAAAAGTGGGGACCTTGAATTTATGAGGAATAACAACTCTTGAAACTAAACCCAGATCTTCAAAATCCAACCCAAGTACTTTCTAGATCTTCATAGCATTTAAACGATCTTCTAGCTGTTTTTATTTTTCATCAGCAGGGGATATTGTCCATCCTAATAGTCTTCCTCCTCTTCATCAGAATATTTTTTAGAACCAAGGTTGCCTCCTTTCTCAACTTTGAAACTTTTACCATCTCCCCCCTGGTTGTCATCTTTGTCTGACGGGATATCACATTCTTGAGCTCGCTTGATAGGATCTCTGAACCTTCTTCCCACATTGAGGATTCCGACTAGTTTCCTTGTCTTTTTATTCCTCTCTTTGGTGATGAGTGTCTTCAGTTCTTTCTTCCCCTTAACCAAGTTCAGGAACATTTCTTGAAATTGAGCATTCTGAGCTTTGAGATCTTTGACTGTTCGTTCAAGAGCCATCTTTTCTGCTGAAATAAACAGCAAGAAGATGAGAAAACATGTCTTGGGAATACTTGATATGTAATGATATGTATGGTATGTAGATGCATATGCAATGTGTGATCAGTGGGAATGAGAACTGACTGTTTTGGAATGCTGGTTCGCGTTTTGCGTTTGTGTTCGCAAAATGTCGCGGTAAGCAAGAGTCGCCACCGTCTTTTATTTTATCCAACAAGGAAAGGACAAAAGCACAGAAAAATTCCTTTTTGAGATATTTCTCGGGTTCGGGAGGTAGATTATAGAAAGGGAAGGCATTAGCACCCTTTCTATCCATGGTTATCCACGGGCTCTTAGGTACTTGCTCATTATGTTTTCAAAAGTTTTGCTTTTCTTTGTGTTTGTGGGTTTGAAAAGAGTTTTTGTTTTGAAAGGGGTGTGAGTGCGAAAAGTTTTGTTTTGTTTTTAAAAGGAGCAAGTACTTAAGAACCATCTACCTACTCAAAAAGGAATTAAACTGTACAAATGTCCTTTGGACAATGCTATCCCACTATTGAGGAGTAGGTAGCATCGTCGTTGGAGTTTTCGGGTCAATTCGATAAAGGGACGTGTGGTCACTAAAGTAACGTTAGGATGCCTTAGCGGTAACCCTAATGTCTTAGATCATTTTTCCGAGGCAACCGTTTCGAGGCAACTATGATATTTGGACAAGAGGGCGACCTCTAAAACTTCCTATGCTCAATGACCACGTTCGAAGGCAACCAAGTGAGGTGTACCCTAAGAGTGACATGTGCGAGTGTGTTATTTTTCAGTTATATTATCTTTGTACATGTTATGGTGAGCTACTGTTGATTTTAGTTTAAAGATTAATCTTGTCATGCATTGCCTATTTATCAAACATCTAGCAGTTTATATCGTGCGGAAATTAAATTGCGGGAAATTAAATCTAAGCTATTACAAGGCGTCAGGTATTTACATCGCCAAAAACAAACCCTTTAAAATTAAATTGCGGAAAGTAAATAAAAGCGATAAAAAAATAAAATCCTAATTTAAAAACTATTACATTCCCGAAGCAGTTACAATATTGGATAAAAATAATACGCGTGCGAGAAAATTAAATCGGAGTATTTTAGGGTTTTGACCCTTTTTTTATTAAAGAAAGCATATTTTTGTTATTTTTTGAATTAAAAACTAAGTCTAAGTTAATAATTGAATTAATTAATTAAATGAAAATATTTTTGGATTTTTTATAATTAAGGAAATAAAATAAGAATGGTTAAAAGTTATTAAAAAAACCTAATTCTAAATTGATTTTAATTTATTACAAAATATGTTAAAATTATACCTAATTAAAACTAAATAAATTAATTATTGTTTATGTACAAAAATAGAGTAATGAAATTAATTTTAATAAATAAAAAATATTATGTTTTTTTTTTTGTTTTCTGATTTTATTGAGAAAAATAATTGGTTAGTTATTAATTAAAATAATAATAATAAAACAATAAATAAAATAGGAAAATAATGAAAGAAAATAAAAAAAGGAGCAAACTCAGGGGGTATTGGGCCCAAAGAGAGG